GCTATTTCTGTTGGCTCAAGATATATTCTCTGCAAATTCGCCAAATCATCGTACGAGGCGTACCTTTGTAAGTTTAACCTCTTGGCTTACGTAAGGTGTAATGGTTTGACACCCTTGTGTTTTACTTGGTCTCAGTTCATTGGCCTTTACATTAAGACTAACTACTGTTCTTTTAAAGCTCTTTTAAACCGTTATCTCATTTTGTACTTTTTTTTGTGCACGAAAACAGCATTTCAATATGAAATATTATCTTTTTTGGGCTTTAAATGGAGGGAAAACCGATTGTATGAAGTAAGACGACTTTTATATTGCATCATGTGTATTGCGCGTATGTATGCGTGGGGTTTGGATGGATGGAAATACATACTAGGAGAAAATAACGCAACGCTTACTTCAGTACATATACTGCATTTTGCTTATGTTGCACTGGGCGGGTTTGTTAATGTCTAAACTAAAAGACACCTGGCTGGATAAGCTGACAGACAGACAGACAGACGGACAAAACATAGAAATAAATTGACAATTTAAACTTTAACCGAATATTATCGCTAAAACTACAAGAAAATACCAAGAACAAGTAAGATATGGCCTGTTAACGTTCTTGTTTTGAAAAAAAGGTGATCTACATTAACTGTCAGCTTGTCCCTAATAATACTCCCCCAAACCTCTCAGTACAAGGCCCTCCACTGTACGACGCTTTCACCCACGTGTTCTACAGAGCCTTCCAATCTAGGCAGACCTAATTATATCTGGGTATTTTTTTCTTACACAAATTAGAATCATGAGCGTATACTTAAAACACAACATGCTCTAAGTTGAACCACTTAGGCAGGGGTCATAAGGTGAAAATGAAGCTTTAAATGATCTGTCTATATTGATTGCGTCTGAGGGAAGCAACCATCATGAAACGAAGTCCCTTGTATATGATATGTTTAGGTTTAAACAGACTGTCAGAGACCTAAATCATAAAATGGAGGGGGTACCCCCCACCCCCGCCCCCAACACCCACTCTGATCTCTCTGTTATCACACATTTTGACTGGCAAAGACTGACTTCTATTATATACAGAATGGTAACAATTATTACACGGTTTCGTTTAGAAATACATTGAATATCAGGTACTAGTACGTATGCAGCTGGAGGTAGATCTGGGAGTTCCAGAGAGCAGTCCTTTAACCAGAACGGGTCCGCTCTGAGTGAACTTTTTATTTTATATTTTATTTTTTATATTTTATTTATTTATTTTTCCATACAGTTTGGAGGCTGGAAAATCAGCACAGTTGTATTCTCCATCGGAGTCCAGTTGAATCATAAAGTTTTCCCCAAAACCTTCACAGTACAGAGAAGTTTAAGGAAATAGAAATATATATATATATACTCTGTATCTTATCCGTGGATATCTAATGAAAACATTCTGTAGAGGGTAGCTCAGCAGTAGGAATATTTCTTGATCCCTTATCTTTCACTCTTGGAGAGCCATGTAAACATGAGATGTACTGCTACAGTGTTTTCTTGGAAATACAGGCATGAGATGAACCTTTTTATAACTGACCCATGCCAGTGGAAATGCGCTAATAAATGTGGAAAAAAATCACAAATAAAATCACATTAAGTTTTTTTCAGTATTCAGATCTACAAGCTTCTTCGTCATGTCTAGATATACATACTCTTCATCATATAGACCTCAAAAGTTGACCGCATAATTAGGTAAACCTGACTTGTTTGGAATGTTTCTGTCTGTCCATCTGGTAGACTGACCCACGTGGCGCGTGAGCGTTCTCCGCGTTCCTCACCGCCTGCACTTGATGTTGTTGTTTTTACTGTAAGTACACCGTCTCTATCTTCTTGACCTTAGCTCAGTATTGATACTTATGGTCAGTTATCGGCAGTAGATTTCAACAAGCTTTCTTTTCTTTCTTCTTTTTTAATTTAATCTTTTTTTTTTTTTTTTCGTTTTATTTCTTTGGTTTTATGCGATTCACTTGTCTGAATAATTCATCTATGTACATGTTTATTTATTTATTTATTTATTTATTTTTTTTTTTTTTT